ATACATGACGTAAGCGCTTCCCCTTATTAGGTCGTAATATTATTCCCCTTATAGACATGGCATAAATAAGGAGGGTTTAATAGAGATTAAGGAGATCTTAATATTACTTAAGTAAGGATAAGATATTTTAAATAATAAGATTAAATTACTAGGGGTAAATAAAGATAAAGGATATAACTAGAATAAAAGCAAGTTTAAGAAGTTAGGAAAGCTAATTAATAAGGTTATTATATTAGGTAAATTTGCTTTAGATATAGTGCTAGATATAGTAGATATAGAGAACCTCTTATTTACCTGTAATATTATAAATAGAGATATGGCTAGTAATGCTAATACAGGGCTAAGAATAGAGTTAAGATTAGTAAAAAGGCGGTGAAAATATATTAACGCCTATAAACTATATATATATTTTAGACCCTATAAGCTCTGCTATTTTCTTTTATTAAGAGATAATATTATTCTTTAAGTATTATATAGAAATAAGAGAGGAATTTATATTTAAGTATATTAGCTATTAGTATAATATTATAAAGATTAATAAATAAGAAGCACTTTATATTTATAAGTTACTTTAATATTATAAAAACTTATATTTAAGCTTTATAGTTAATAATACTAAAGGCAAGGACTAAGCTATATATTTTAAATAAAATTTCTAATATATAAATAGTATTTTCTTTAAGTTATAATTTATAATAAGTTACTAATAATATAATAGTTAAGTAAGGCTAAATTAATATTATAATTTAAGACCTAGATTAAAAAGTGTTTTATATTATTTAAGTAAAGTAATTAATAATATTAGATATCTTATCCCTGCTAGGCAATAGGGAGTAGTTTTTAGCTATATTTAATAAGAAATCTAAATTTTATATTAGCATAATATAAATCTATATTTATAGCCTAATATATATTAAGTATTCTTTAAGTAAGGATAAAAAAGTAAAGAGGTATAGTCTTTATTAGTTTTAGGCATTATAGAGATTAGTTAAAAAGATTACTTATAGTAAATAATATATTATATATCTGCAGGAGGTATAATATAGTAAATTAGTAAAATAAGGCTATTACTATAAGGCTTTGTTGTAATTATAATATCTCTATTATAGTAATACAGAAAAAGACTATAGCCCTTATTTATTATATTATAAATTATATAATTAAAGTAGGGGACTTAGTATAGAAGTATATAGTTATTATACTAAAACTGCTGCCTCTTATCTTAGTGGCTAGTAATATAGAGGATTATAAAGAGGATAGTAAAAGTAATACTATAGGTAATAATAATACTAAGAATAAGATATAATAGTTTTTAATAAGGGTAATAAACTATATATTTATAAAGTATTTTTTATAGTAAGTTAAGGTTATTATATATTTTATAAGATACCTAATTAAGTTTAATATTAATAATACTTAAATATTCTTAAGTATCTTTTTACTTTATTAATATATCTTTTAATAATAATAATATCTTTAATAAGAAAGTAAAACTAAGATTATATATAATTTTGTAAATAAGTTAATAATTATAAAAAGAGTAAATAAAAAGATTAGCTACATTAAGGCATATTAGTATTAAGGAGATATTTTATAAAGCTTATACCTTTATATTTATATTTTATTTATTAGAGTTAAATAAGTTAGTAAAGATAAAATCCCTGCTATGTAGGAAGAGGTATTATTTAAGAGTAAGTAAGGATTTTAATTAGGATAACAAAAAGTTATAAGGTCTGCTATTACTAATAAAATATAAAGGTTATATTAAAGAGGCTAACCTTTATATACTAGAAAAGTAATAATATAATATTATATACTATTTATATTATAAGAGTTTTTTTTATATTAAGAAATAGATAATACTAATAGTATATAGGCATAGGTATAAGAGGTACTGCCTTTTAAAGCATTATGCCTTATTAATAATATATAATTACTTTAATAATTAGCTAAAGATATAAAACATAATGCCTAGTAATAAGTAATATTATTTAGTAATAATAAACTTATAGCTATATATACCTATTATAATAAGGCAGGCAAGGCAAGTAAAAAAGCAATATTATTATATTAGTTTAATAATATTAAAAATATAATCTATTTAATTAATATTATAAGATATATATTTAATATAACTTAGATTATAATAAGCTTGCTAGAGCTTATAAAAATAATATAATAGCTTTATTACTTTTAGTAATTAGTATTATACTTAATTATTAAGCTTTAGGCTATTATAATACTTAAACTAGGAGAAAGATAAATAAGTATATAAGGAAATTAATTTTCTAAGGTTATAATACTATTATAAGGCTAGTATTATAACCCTAGCAGTTCCATTACATATACCCTACATTTTCTACCAATTACCCCAGCCTCCGCTAAAAACAATCAGCGCCAAGACTCTATAATCAGAGCTAATCTACCATAATCAGTATTAATCTACCTAGATTACTACTAATCCCTTAATAACCTTACTAATTACCTAAGGATACCTCTAGTATATAGATTATATTTATTAGCACTTAAATAGAACTTAGCTTACTAGCTATTAATAAGACTTCTTTACCTTAATAAGCCTAAATTATATTATTAACTATTAAGAAATATAATACTTTACTATTACTTAGTATAATGCCTTATAACTTTATAAATATAAAACCTAGTATAGACTAGTTTACTTATTTAAAAACCCTAATTATTATAGCTAGGTTAAGGCTATTAAGTTATAGTAAATTTATATATTTAAAGAAAGGGAAAAAATAATTTAAAATATATAAAGTATTATTATAGCCTATAAGACTAATTATAATATAATAATATAGAAATTACTTATTAGTTTTAAAAAAGAGGATATATAAATAATAATAGTAAATTTTTAAAAAAAATAATAATATATATAAGTTTAAGTATAAAAGTTTACTTTAATATATTAATATCTTTTCTTAAGGTAAAAAAGGCTTTAATAATATAGTTTATATTAAATAAGAGGTAAGTAATTACTTTCCTTATATTATATTACTAACTTAACTTAATATATAATAAGAAGAAAATAAAGAAAAGTAATATTAATTAGCTTTGCTAGTTTATTAATAAAGAAAACAGAATTAGTAAGTTAAAAGTTATTAAGGCGCTAGTTAAGCTCTTTATATTAAAAGGCATTTAAAACTACTTATTAATTATAGTAATATTAGAGATTATTATAATATAGATTAATAGTATTATAATTTACTTAGCTTATAAGTTTTTTAAGGATTAAGTAATAAGTATAAACTTAACTAAAGATTCTAATAGGATATTAATATTAAAATAGGTAAAGTAATTTATTTATAAATAGGTATAAATAAATTAATAAAATATAGTAATATTAGTTATTAATAAGGTAAGTATATTTAAAGCTTAGATATTATATATTATAAATAAGTAGCTTTATAGGCTATATATATTATAATAGGATTTTTAGAATATATTTATTATTCTTTTCTATACAGACTTTTATTAGTTTTATCCTATTATTACAATCCTAGCGGTTATGTTACGTATACCCTATAATTTTAACCCAATTACCTATTCGCTCACTTACATTAGCATAAGCACCCTCGTGCTTACTCCTAGTACTATAAGCCTAGGCCAAAAGCTTAATAATAAATAAGTAAGCTTCCCTTTATAACTTATTCTTATTATAGTAAATATGTTAATATCTAGAAATATATTTAATAGTATTTTTATAAATTCTAGCTTATTAGCTATTAATAAGACTTTTTTATATTAATAAGCCTAATATATATTATTTAATTATTAAAAAGTATAATATTTTATAATACTTAGTCTTATACCTTATATTATTTATTAATATAAACTTAATATAAACTAGTTTATTCCTTAGAAATTATAACTATTATATATTAATAGCTCTTATTTAGACTATATTATATCAATACTAAGTAATATGTATATAATAGCACCTACTACTCGAAGCTAAGCCTCTATCTCTAGCTGTAGCTAATAGTTAACTTAACCTAAGATACCTTATAAAGTACGGGAGGTCCCTATAAATACTAATAATAAGAGAGCTTGCTTCTCGCAGGACGGCCTATGGGCCACAGCATCTAAGCTGGTAGTTGGGACGCCCAGGCATGTTTGCGCCAGTTTAGATACACTAGCATATGTGCTAATGCATACCTGATAGAGCATGGGGGCTAACAACCAGAGCCCCAGCGCACCTATACCTAGATAGGGGTTGGATCGGAATAAACGCTCATGCCTTATTTCTGGCATACTAAGGGTAACTGAACAAGGAACCGCCTTTCTTGACTCTATGGCAGCCGACTGCGTTATTTCTATCGGTGGAGGGTCGGGAATTGGACTCGGAAAAGCCATCTCTATTCGTTCAGGGGCACCTCACATCTGCATCCCAACGACTTATTCTGGCTCGGAAATGTCCTATTCTCGGCGAAACGCAAAATGGCCACAAAACTACTCGATCTGACCCCAAGATCCTGCCTTCCGTGGTTATTAATGATGTAGACTTCACCTTGACCCTAAGCATACTAATGCCTCCATCTGCGGGGTATTATCATTGTTATAGCATCATGACAGATATAGTGCGTAGGCGCTACCTAAACTGTGTTAGGCTTATGATGCAGTTATGCGCTAGTGGGTGCTCTCTAGTCCCTGATATCCCCAGTCCAATTGAATGTTTGTCAGTTAAAGCAAGGTTGGACCAGAATGGACAGGATGTCTCTATATTCAACTCAACAAATTATGTCATAACTGCGACATGCACACACTATAACTCAATTAAAATTAGCTGGTCTGAAAGGGTTATGTCATATTTGCAACATAGAGACCATCACACTCTAATATGCGCGACCAGGCAACGTAACAGGGCACGCGTTGTTGCATAAACTTGGAGTCATAGTCTGGTCAGCTTTCTAACATTGGCGAGTCCATTAACCATAAATTACAAGTCATTGGCACTCTTGGCATGCTCGGCATCCTCTAAACTCCTTGGACAAGCTTTCAAAAGACCAATTTTACTACAACTTCAATTTTTCCCCGCACCTGTCATTCTACCATATTCTAAATGGATAAATCCGGCAAGGAGATCGCATCGCCAACATATAAGCCCCCGTTCCCGCCCACTTCTTCCTTGGTTTCTCAGGATGACCTAGTCCTCCCTGCAGCCTTCAACGATTTATCTCCCATAGCAAGGGAACTGCAGCCACTGAGATATGAGGCTAGAGATGAGGTGCATAGATTTCTTTGCGCCTTTTTCGATCTTTCTCGATTCAATGCCATACGCAAGATGTTATGGCTAATCGCCGTCCATGGAGCTCCCCGATCATTATACTACCAGAAATTCCTGCGCCGTGAAATTGTAATTGCAGAGGAACTGGATCTTCATCTTGTTTGGGCCAAGTCGAGAATATTTATCAAGCCACTACCGGACTTTCTCCTCAACTACGATTTCTGGGAGGCCAACATATCCTGTGACCCTCAATTGCACCGAGCAGCGTGCGGGCTTCTGTACTCTTATTGTGGCCTTATTCGCTTTGGTCATGATTTGCGGGTGGCTCAAGAATCTCGTCTAATCAATGAGAACTTGGACTACCGAGCTTGGGCGGAATTTGCCCGTACAATACTACCAAATCTCAACCCCAAGGACTCTAATATCATGGACAAACGATTCCAATACGGCGAGTTGCGGTTAAATCGGCTCGATACGATTTACCGATATTCGCCTTACAAGTTTTCCATATCCAGTATCCTTCAAGGCTTCCCCCATGCTTTGACCGAGAGCTATGTGCCTTACATGGACCAGTACAATAACGCAGTGTCAGCGTTTGGTATCATTGTTATTATTCTGTCGGCTTTCAATCTATCATTAGCCTCACACTCGAAAAGTCCAGATCCTGATCTTCAGCAAGCAGCATACGGTTTCAGTATATTCGCGATGATATTATGCGCCGCCCTTACTGGATTGTTTATTGTATTACCCTTGGTTTCCTCACTAGCGACAATCTATGGCTCTTTTGCCATACGAAGACGACTTGAGAAAAGAAATGAGGACAATTACGCGTAGCTTAGTTATTATTACCCGCACTCTGTATTCTTGGTATAATATACTTTGTTTGGGATGTTTACGCCTGAGTTATTAGAGCCAAGCAATACTGTGTTTGCAGCTATCTTCTTCTCGGTGATAATTGCTAGACGATGCAATAGCCTGCGGATTTATTTAGTATTAGTTAATATATATGTTTATGAGAGATGTATCGGCATAATCTACATAGATAACTATTCTTCTGGTATATATACTGCTATTTTAATTTCCTTAGCTTTATAGTATTAAGTTGGATTATTTTAGCTGAGGAATTAAAGTTTTTTATACTCCTTAAAAAGAGGAAAAAGAGTTATTATTTAGGTTTTTTATTAGTTATTACACTGTAGTAATTAGTTAGGTATTTAATATAGTATTTAAATTATAAGCTTAATGTATTATTTACAGTTAAGACCTATAGCTAGAAGTATATATTTACACACTCGAACTTAGCTTCTAGAAGATTACTAATATATATTTTTACTTGGTTCTAAAATAGTAATTAATAAATATTTAAATTCTTCCTCTTAACTCTATTTCCGCGTGGCCGAAAGATGCATGGGAGCCAGCACCAAACTGGACTTTACATAGGTGCACGGTTGCGACAGATACTACAACTGAAACAATTGGTAGTGGTGATTCAGGTCGTAACTAGCCTCGATGACTATTTGGGGGAGTATGATCCTCTTGTCTTAAAGACACCGCCTGCTCCTCCGTTTGGGGAATGCATCCCGGAGCAAATTGAGCATCTTGAGATCCGCAGTTGTTGAAGAATGAATCCCCCCATCACCTGTCTCACTGAAGTTTCGTGAATCTAAGATCGGTTTCCAAGGCTTCAAGTATCCATGTTCACATTTATTGACAGGTGTCTCACTGAGGCAGAACTGGACAGGCTTGCTGTTAATCGGGTGGGACTATCGGGCAGTTCGGTGTAGTTCTGATTTCATTTCTTGCCGTTAGGGGCAACAATATGCAACTGCGGACATCTTCTTAGGCGTGATACTTTTCTATGCAACTGGGGGTACATAGACCACCTCCAGGAATTATTACGCGGCATGATACAATAGTAGATCAACAGCGAGGGAAGAAGAAGAGAGTATGAAGCAGATAGGAAGACAAGTATGTCGCAAGATAAGTGTATTTCTGCCTCCATGCTGCAATTGTGGAAGCCCATGATGATGCGGGAGGCCCACCAAACGCCACTCTTCGTGCCGGACACCGACAAGCAGGCCTAAATCTTGATGCCTGACCAAGAGCTGCTTCTCGCCCTGAAATTATGAGCTTAAGCTGAAAGTGGTTAACTTGCACATCCTCTGCGCTGATTTGAGCCATTCTGTTAACATACAAATCGGAGGGAAAAGCTCTTGGTCAAGATCCTGATTCGTGAAGTTTGAGGCATGTGACTGGAGGCCATACAATAATTAGGATGTACTGACTTAGTTGTATTGGTAGTACAGTAGGATATACTTGTACAATGTCTTTTTTGTACTAGGCTGTTGTTTATACTAGGATAATCATAATAGTATCCCCCCGGTTCTAACCAGACTACAATTTGTACGGCTTGAGGTGGAGTGGTATAGATTTTATACTAGTTACATCGGAATGATCTATTTCCCCATACTAGTCCATAGAATTAAGGTAGACTAATATATCCTCTATACTGGTCCTGGCTAACTACTCGACTAGTCGACTTATACCGCCATATACTTCAACCAGGATATAAAGGACCGCATACTGACCCTGTTTAACTAGCATACTATCCTAATTATTCTAACGGCTTTCCCCTACTAGTCCACCCATGATAGGTATGTTATCTACTACTGAATCGACAGTTCTCCCCTACTAGTACATCTGTGACGTTTTATTCCTACTTGATGCCTGAATGCAATCTCTAAGGATAACCCTGCTACTTCGGCGGTCGGTTTAATCCAGTTCTTAGTTGCTAAATGATGATAATAAGCAGTGTACATTCAGTCGGGTCTCCCCTGTTTTTTATTGGAAAGAAAATCATACCCTCTAGTAAGCCATTAGTATTAAAGAACTATCGTTTTATATTAACTTGCGGCCTGAACTATTATACTGTCCTAACATCTACACTGTAATATAATATAATATCCTAAAAACTAGTCTAGTATGCAATATAGTATCTTATAACCTAGGCTGGCATATTATAAGGTCCTAAAACTGAAGCCTGTTATAATACAGCCGGATTAACGGTTAATTCTGTGGCCCAAAGAGTCTCATGTTAGATATGATAAATTGGAACCTTATATTTAGATAAACAAGCGCCTGAAGTTTAGCTGCTTAAGTATAGCATAGCTCCCGAAATAGAACCTATGACCTAGAGAGCGTAAAAGGTGCATCCTAGATGCGCCGTGAAGTAAGCGTGTATCCCTCCCTGTGCAAAGGCAGGCAGGTCTTGGCTACGCGTGCAGGGCAATTCGCCTACTATAAACAGGGGAGCAAAAAGAGCCAAGTTCTAGGGGACCAAAACAGGTCCCCTGTGGATAAATTTGGCATATCCTTATAATGCCATTTACTAAAGTTATGCCCCTAAATTTAGCGCAGCGTTCCTGAGCTACTCTGGTCTGTTTGCCTGTATGCAGATTAGATACTAACTGAGTAAGCTAGCTTCTCTATCCTAGTTTATATGCTCTGTCTAGCATATGCGCCTTTGATCTAGATATAAGCCTAGTTTAAGGCTATATAAGGCAAAATCAGGACCTAAATTAGCAGCTAGCTAAAGTCATTAAATAATTATTATCTTAAAAACTTTGCTAATAAAATCTACTTAATAAAGATAATAAATCCTAATATAGGAATACTTAATAGCTAGGATTTTCTAAGAATTTTAAGTAAATACCTCTAGTGAATTTTCGCTGGCATAGTCTGCTCCAGGTTTTCGAATAATCCTATCTAGCAAATTATTACTAATAGTATCTGCTCTAAGCTTTCAGGTAATATTATCTGATAAATAATCGCCAATAGGGTCTGTTCTAAACTTTTATATAACCCTTCTAAAGGAAATATTACTAAAGAAGTTTATATGAGAATATTAATAAAACCTGGCTTAAGAATTTCGCTACTAGAACTGGCGCTGGCCAAGCAGCAAGATGGTGCTCTGCAATAAGATATCTTAAGTCAAAATGAGTTAGGGATGCAAGTTGAAGGCTGCTATAAGCATCGGCACTACGAGATTACAAAGTTAACCAGTCAGAGAAGGCAACAAACTTACCAGGCGGCCAGATTTCGCTATACAGGAAAACCTAGTAGAATGCGATATATTAGCCATGTGAAGCCATATCGAATTACATTAAGTCATAACTTAGATTTATATACTGCCCTAGGTATTAGTTTATAAATTATAAATAAGGGTCCTCTTATGCTTATTCTTATATTAAAATGCTATAAAAAAGGGGTTATCTTCTAAACTAGTAATTTAGTACTTTTTTTTCTTATTTAAAAGGCCTTTTATAATTTATATATAAGATATTAAATACCAGGTTAACCTATAGTAATCTAAAGATATACCTAATTTATAAAAACATATAAGGTAAGGCTATTTCCTTTATTTAGAGAGCTATAACTAAGGATAATATATTATTCTTTTACTATACTAAATACTAATAAAGGCCAGCTATATTATTAGATATATTAGAGACTAAGACTATATTAGTATTTTTAAATAATTAAATATATAAGGAGATAATGCCTTAAGAAAGTACTTATAAATCTAGTATTAAAACCTACTAGAGATTAATAAATATATATTATTAATATTTAAGTTAATAAAAGAGATAGTTATTATGTTTTAAAATTATTAAAATACTAAAGGTTAATATAAGCTTAAATATATTATATTAAAGCTAAGATTTAATAATATTAAAATATAGTTTTAATTTACTTATTTTATTAAGCTAAATAGTTATTTTCTTATTTATATAAACTTAATTAACCTTAACAATATTTTAAAAAAATATAAAAAGATAATAATAAGGCGTTTAACTAATTTATACTTTAATATAATATATACTTAAGTAACTCTTAATATAGTAAATAATACCTAATTAGTATATAAAAATAGTCCTAGTCTTATATTAAGATTAAAGTAAAGGAGGTAAAGTAGTATTATAAATAACTTCTATTTTTATCTTATTTAAAGGAATATACCTAAGACCTAGTAAGAGCTAATAGGCTATATATAATAAAAGGCTTAATATACAAGAGCTATATTTATAATATTAAGTATATATAGTATCTTATTTTATCCTTTCCCCCTTAAGAAATTATATTTTAACTTCTTTAAGAGTTTAAGCTAAGTTATATTATTTCTTTTATATTAAAAGTTTTAAAACATAGCTTAGATAAAAGGTATATACTTTATTTTAAAATAGCAGACTATTTAAATATATATAGAATTACTATTTAGAGTCTTATATACTTGGTTTAAAATTGCCTCTATTTAGCTTAGCCTAATACTCTAGAGGGGGGGAGGGGAGATTAGGGGACTGCTTTTGCATTTACGCAAGTTATTGCAGTATCCTTTGCAATCATTATTACCTATATCCGATCGTAGATAGTTAGAAAGTAAAGTAGCTGCTAGCTACAGACTAAGTCAGCAAAGTGGATAAAGTAGTTCTTAATAATTTTAATTAGGGGGTTATTAATACTGTAAGCCTTTCGCGCTATAAAGGAAGAACTTAAAGCTGCTTACTGTATTAATTACCTTAGTCACATCTCTGCTACTAGTAGAGAAAAGTCTTACTCCTTACTTTATAATCTATTCTAATTATCCACTTATAGCACCTATAAGCTTCACTCTACTAGTAATAGGCCTAGGCTAATTTACTTATAGAGATAATTAATCTACCTCCTCTACTAATAGATAAAAGCAAACCTATCTCTTTACCTTGCTACTAGTAGCTAAATAGTAATGCCATCTGCTGTATTATATTATATATCTACTACTAGTAGCCAGCTAATATGCTGACTATAAAGGGTAGCAGGGTAATAGGTAATCTGTTTCTGCTACTAGTAAAGGGAAGCT